CACTCTCTGAAGGAAAGGGAATGAGCCTGCCAGGGTGGAGTCCCAGGCACCCACCCTGACCCTGCCTGCTGCTGCTGCACGATCACCCCAGGCCGACCTCAGGCAGCCGGGCCTCATACTCTAGATAAGAAGAAAGTAATTGGCTGGGTGCCTATAGCTAAGTGGTTAAGGCTCAGCCGGCCACATGCACCAGGGCCGGTGGGTTCAAACGGGCCTGGGCCAGCTAAAACAAACACATAGCTGGTTGTTGTGGCAGGTGCCTGTAATCCCAGATACTAGGGAGGCTGAGGCAAGAGAATCATTTCAGTCTAAGAATTTGAGGTTGCTGTGAGCTGTGATGCCACGGCTCTCTACCAAGGGTGACAAAGTGAAACTGTGTTTCCGTAAAAAAAAAAAAGAAAGAAGAAAATAATTTTCATCTGATTATTTCACCTACAAGTCTGTCTTAGATATCAGTTGAAAAGCTATCACCACCATTTTCCAACAAAATATGCATCTCTGCATTATGAAATGGCCTAAGGATGCCATAAAAAGAGAAATGAAATGCAGGATTTTTCCTACCTCCATTCCCTCTCCATTGAGTGAACCCACTCTTTTCAAATTTGAACTAAGTCAGTAAATCCCTCCATATAGATACCATCAATATCCCCATAAAGGACATCAAAAAGCAAAACAAAAATGTTTTTTGAGAGAGAGAGTCTCATTATATCTCCCTTGGTAGAGTGCTGTGGCATTACAGCTCACAGCAACCTCAAACTCTTGGGCTCAAGCGATTCTCTTGCCTCGGTCTCCTGAGTAGCTGGGACTACAGGCGCCTGCCACAACACCCAGCTATTTTTAGAGATGAGATCTCACTCTTGCTCAGGCTGGTCTTGAACCCATGAGCTCAGGCAATCCACCCACCTTGGCCTCCCAGAGTGCTAGGATTATGCAGGAGCCAATGAGCCCGGCCCCTCAAGAAATGCTTTTTGAACATTAAACAAAACACTCGCTATTTCTTGAGAGCATTAAATCAATTTCAATAACCAGCAATTCTAGAGAACTATAAGAAAGTCTTCTAAAAATGCAAAACTACTCTGTAACGCATATCTTATGAAAAGTAATAAGAACACTCCTAGCCTGCTAAGTCATCTGAATTCTTCCTAAATTATAAATGAATAGTTCTCAAAACAGAAAACAGCCCAAATCGCTAGTCAAGAGAAATTGTCAACTTGTGGTTGTCTGCACAAATAGAGAATGTAATAAATTATCAGAGGTGGAATTACTTATGTACAAGCATTTGCATGTGGGCGTGCCAGATGTTCAGAGAATGGCTCTTCCTCATAAAATAGAACCTTAGAAGGAACAGAAACCTCAGTGCCTCCAGCTCTGTTGCTCTGCTCCTGACCACATGGCCTTTCAATGGGACACAAGACCAAAGGAAGCTGGGCTGCCTCCTCTCCTTGCTTGCTGAGTATGTAAGGGGGGAGGGCAAGAGCAGTGGTGACAGAGGACAGCAAGGGAAAAGCGGCATGGAAATTAATATCTCTGGCTGAAAAGACCTTCTAGTACAGCGGTTCTCAACCTGCGGGTCGCAACCCCTTTTTAACAATGAAAATACACTGCAGCATTAGGAAGGTTGAGAACCACTGTTCTAGTAGCTGTGACTAAATGAAGAGTTTCGAATGTCATGCCATCACAGCTTTATTTGATTTATTCCAAGCTACATCTGGGACAAATAATTATAAAAATATAAACAGAGGGGTGGTGCCTGTGGCTCAGGGGGTAGGGTGCCAGCCCTGTATACCGAGGGTGGTGGGTTCAAACCCGACCCCGGCCAAACTGCAACAAAAAAATAGCCAGGTGTTGTGGCGCGTGCCTGTAGTCCTAGCTACTCAGGAGGCTGAGGCAGGAGAATCGCCTAAGCCTGGGAATTGGAGGTTGCTGTGAGCTGTGACGCCACAGCACTCTGAAAATCAGCATCTGAATTTAAGAAGAATTCAGATGACTTAGCAGGCTAGGAGTGTTCTTATTACTTTTCATAAGGGCAATAAAGTGAGACTCCAAAAATAATAATAATAATAAAGTACAAATATACCCAGCATCAGAAGATTCAGACCCTAAACTCAGATGCTTACAAGATGTATGTAGCAAGAAGATATCAGAAAAGGCAACTACAGATTATCCAGAGAAATTAAGAGAAGCCAAAGAGCATAGCACTGAATGTCTATCTTCCCAATCCTGTGGATGAGAAGAGTTAACGGTGACTCAGGACAGGGATTCTTTAGATAACCAAGAATGTCAATACAGCTTTCTGTTTACCACGCTTGGGTCAAGATAGCAGGCAGGATTTCCAGTGTCATGAGGTTAACAACCTGGGAGAATATTTCTAACGTGACAAACACTAACATTTCCAAAATGGCACTTTTCATCCTGGTTGGGTTTTTCTGAGTGATTCCTCGGAGAATTGTGGCCAAATTCTTTCCAGATCTGGGTTCTTTTACTTTGCTGTGTTCAGACTATAGAAAGTGCTCAATAGTCATGGCTGAGGCTAATGAACAATCGAAGACAGTATCTAACTGCAGGATTTTTACTAATGCTTTTTTTATTACATGAAAACATAATGTAATTACATTACAAAAAACAACATGTAATTACATTACATAATCCTGGGCTCGGTGCCTGTGGCTCAAGTGGCTAAGGCTCCAGCCACATACACCTAAGGTGGTGAGTTTGAATCCAGCCCAGGCCCGCCAAACAACAATGATGGCTGCAACCAAAAAATAGCCGGGCGTTGTGGCGGGCACCTGTGGTCCCAGCTACTTGGGAGGAGACTCGCTGGAGCCCAGGAGTTGGAGGTTGCTGTGAGCTGTGATGCCACAGTACTCTACCCAGGGGGATAGCTTGAGGCTCGGTCTCAAAAAAAAAAAAAACCACATAATCCTAATCATACACTACACATAAATGACATGTGGGGCCCAGATTGGACCTAATAAAATAAGGTCATTTCCTTTTTTCCTGGTAGACAGGTCCAAGCACGGCTCAGCCCTTTTAAATCCATTTCTTGTTTCTCCATTCCTTCCTACTAGGAAAGCAGGACTTCTGAAATTCTTACTTTAAGCAAAGTCTAAGAAGGTAGATTAGTAGTAATAAAGAAATATGGTTCAATTCTCTGTGTCGCTAAGAATGAAATGATTATTACAGTGTATTACAGTATATACAGTATATACAGTATATAATAAGATTTTTATAGTACAAGGTAATTTTACCAGAATTCTGGTAACTATGATTCAATCAACTTTGAATTGTAGGTCTGTGTTTAAATGTCACCTCTTAGATTGCTTATATTAGAACTGGCTTCTGGCTGGGCCCAGTGGCTCAAGCTTGTAATCCTAGCAGTCTGGGAGGCCAAGGCAGGTGGATTGGAGGAGTTCACCACCAGCCTGAGCAAGAGCCAAGACCTTGTCTCTACTAAAAATAGAAAAACTAGTTAGGAATTGTAGCAGGCACCTGCAGTCCCAGCTACTCAGGAGTCTGAGACAAGAGGATTGCTCAAGCTCAAGAGTTGGAGGTTGCTATGAGCTATAACACCAGGGCGGTCTACACAGGGTGACAGAGTGAGACTCTGTCTCAAAAAAATAAAAAAACAAAAAAACTACTAACTTTTAGTTTTGTTCATGAAGCTAGCCAAGTGAGTTTTATTTTAAAAGTATAAAAGTATATGCAGTTTCAACTTCATATAATTTCTTTTTGGGGGAGGGAAACAGAGTCTTACTATGTCACACTTGATAGCGTGCCATGGCGTCACAGCTCACAGCAATCTCAAACTCTTGGGATCAAGTGATTCTTGCCTCAGCTTCCCAAGTAACTGGGACTATAGGCACCCGCCACAACACCTGGCTGTTTTTCTTGTTGCTGTTATCATTGTTGTTTTAGCTGGCCTGGGCTGGGTTCGAACCCACCAGCCTCAGTGTATGTGGCCAGTGCCCTACCCACTGAGCTATGGGTGCCACCCATATCATTAATTGTTAACAATCATCAAAAAGTCTACAAGATAAACATAAAAGAAAATTAATCTTTCATTTACCTCTGAACACTGCTAAACATCTCATATGAACTGTTTATCTGAAATGAGGTGAAGAAATACTAATTGTTCCTTCAGGAGTAGGATATGTGTAAATGATGCCTGAGTTAAACATTACCAAGTTTCCAATGCATATAAAGTATAGAAGATCCACTCAACAGTCAACTTAATCAACTATCATAAACGTTATTTAAGTCATATGCTTATTTACTCAAAAACATATAAAGATACCTTTTTTTTTTTTTTTAAGAGACAGAGTCTCACTTTATCCCCCTCAGTAGAGTGCTGTGGTGTCACAGTTCACAGCAACCTCCAGCTCTTGGGCTTAGGCGACTCTCTTGCCTCAGCCTCCCAAGTAGCTGGGACTACAGGCACCCGCCACACCTGGCTATTTTTCTGTTGCAGTTTGGCCGGGGCCAAGTTTGAACCCACCACCCTCAGTATATGGGACCAGTGCCCTACTCACTGAGCCACAGGCGCTGCCCCAAATGTACATGTTTTAAGAGATGGGGTCTCACTCTGTCACCCAGGCTGGAATGCACTGGCATGATCATAGCTCACTATAGCCTTTAACTCCTGGGCTCAAGTGTCCTCCTGCCTCAGTTTCCCAAGTAGCTGGGATTACAGCTACAAGTCACCAGGCCTGGATAATAATATATTTTCATACTTCACCTTCTTACTCTTTCGATAAGTATGTGCTTTTTCAAGAAAGATTCCTTTCTCAATACCAATTTAGGACACGAAATTTCCTGAAATGCTTTCGTTAACTGTAGAAAAATCAGGGTAATCATGACTGGCATTCAAGCTTAAACACTAATTTTCTTTTCTTCTGTATCAAACTTAAAATATGATTTATTTATAAGGTACAAATATCAGTATTTAAAAGGATGATAATAAGGCCATGGATGGATAAAAAACGCTTTCCAAGGCACCTTACCCAGGAGACAGATGTGTTTTCCGTCTTTTCTTCTCTTTTGGGGGGTTCGCTCTGAGGGTGGCTCTGAGGTCTGCCCTTCTGCTCAGCACAATCCTTTCTGAAACATGAAATCAGAACAATTTAGGCACATTGCACTACCTGGAAGGCTCTTAAGTGCAGTTTATCTTTAAATAAACACATTTTTTATTACTCCTCAATATGGAACTTACACTAAAGTCCAGGAAAAACTTAACCAGCTTTAATGAACTTTCACAATCAAGGATTTATGTGCAAATATGTACTTGCGGAGTGCCTGAAAGCTATTTACTTAAGTGAAGCACCTCTCAGGACAACCTTGTTTACGCTCAAAATTTGTTCAGTAAACCTTTCTTCCTGGATTGCGTAACATCTGGACACCAGGGTGATCAAAGCTTGCAAATTAGCCTATGGTGTGCGAAAATGAAGTTGTGTTGTATCTCCCTACACTGTAAAGATGGGCCCCCACATCTGTCATCCCCAACATGGAAAAGTCTTTTTTTTCCCCCCCTGCCTTATGCCAAGTAAACAAAAAATCATGAACAAATATCATGGAAAGGAACTAACATAAAAGTAATAACTGCTGATTTCAAAGATTACTGAGGTCATTTCTAAAAAAAAAGTCATCAGGGCAACCATCTATAAAACTTGATCTAGAAATAAATGGGTTTTTTTTTAATTTTTTTTTTTTTTTTTTTTGAGACAGAGTCTCACTTTCTTACCCTTGGTAGAGTGCTGTAGCATCACAGCTCACAGCAACCTCCAACTCCTGGGCTTATGCAATTCTCTTGCCTCAGCCTTCTGAGTAGCTGGGACTACAGGCGCCCACCACAACGCCCAGCTATTTTTTTGTTGCAGTGTGGCTGGGGCTGGGTTTGAACCCACCACCCTTGGTATATGAGACCAGTGCCCTACCTACTGAGCCACAGGCGCTGCCCTACAAATAAATTTTTAAAAGAAATCACTAGTCAAACTCAGTGCCTACTTATACTGGACAAGCTTCAGAGAACCAGATTTCAGGCTGGCTAAGGGTCGGACCATCCCACCCAGTCCCTCTTTGCCTGCAGGGCAGGATCACTCATCCTCCTCTGGAGGCCACAGGCAACATGGCCCAAGCAGCTCCCAGCTAAGGGGTTACATCTTCCTAGGCCTGCCTTCCTCCAGAAAATGTCTGGGGCCATTAAGTGTCCCCAAACTCACACTAACATCATGCTCAAAGCTCAAATACAGGCCCTAAGGATGGAGAGTGACAGGGATGGAGCTCTGCACACTCCTTTCAGTGAGGCCTTTAAAAGCCCCTAGGGTAGAAATAGAGCTCAAGTTTGGAAAACCAGGAAGGCTTCTATTCCCCCTCGAAGAAACAATTTAATCTATGAGTAATGTTGGAAATTAACTTGAGAAAAAAGTTAAGCTACATATACAATGTATCTTTCTGGACATCAAGATGCGATTTACCAACAATTCAGTATCAAACTATATTAATGATTATAAAAAGAAGAATGTGGCAAAATACTAACACTACAGACTGCTGAGAATAAATGGATTATGGGCCTAGTTTGCATAATCACAGAATAACAAATCTGAAAAACTTTCAGTCTCTGCGATTTAAAATGTTATGCTCTGGGGCAGCGCCTATGGCTCAAAGGAGTAGGGCACCGGCCCCATGTCCCAGAGGTGGTGGGTTCAAACCCAATGCCGGCCAAAACTGCAAAAAATAAAAATAAAGAAAAAAATAAAATAAAATTTTATGCTCCCATTTCAAAGGATGTTGTTTCTCATAGTATATCCCACCCACAAGGACTTCTCACCAACAAATGCAATAAGGTTTGCCACAGTCTTTACTCCAGGACATAGAAGTTCACCTAATGGATTTGAAAAGAAACTCAGAATTTGGAAGGAAGTCTTTTAAGTCTTCTTCTAACACAGGCACATATAGTGCTCAAGCTATGATTTACAAGTGTTAAAAATGCTGTTTTGAGAAAGCTAACAGATTTATCAACATTAAAGAATAGAATTTTGGGGCAGTGCCTGTGGCTCAGTGGGTAGGGTGCAGGCCCCATATATAGAGGGTGGTGGGTTCAAACCCGGCCCCGGCCAACCTGCAACAAATAGAACTTCCGTGAGCCAAAACCACTTATAAACACATTTATCAGGCAAAGACAAAATGGGAAGAAATATCTGAAATATGAATGGTGAAAGTTTGTATCAATCTATAAAAGGTTCTTATGAACAAATGGAGAAACACTAATATTCCAGGAAAAAAATTGGCACTACATTCAGCTATAAATGAAAAACAACTAGACTTTGTGGTTTTCAAAATCATTGTAAAGAAAAAGGAAAATTTAAACAGACAGCACTATTCACCTATAAAGCTGGCAAGAACAATTTTGCCTTTTATGAGGGATTCTCCCTGTTGACAAGAAGATCTGTGGTAATACAAGCACTCTCATGGAATGCTGGTGGAAGCATAATTTGGTTAAACGTTTCTCATACAGCAAATGGTCAATATGTTTCAAGAGACCTTTGAACAATCAGCTGTACTTCAAGGACTCCATCCTAAGGAATTACACCTTGTACATAAAGTTTTCAAAAGGATGTTTGTTGCAAAAGGATATTTAGTAATAGTAACTAGAAATGTAACACATGAAAACTTCATCGGTAAGAAAATAGCTAATTGATACATTTATATAACATAGTATCATGTAACCACTAAAATAAGATCTTTGAAGACTTAATGACCTGGAAAATTGTTCACAGCTGAGTAGATAAAAAGCCTAGCATGCACTCAAGTATTTGTATATATGCTGTATTTTATATAATATAGAAATAAGTGTATTTTACAGTAACTGTAAAAATATTGTTACATGTATTAACAAGTGTAAAGAAAATATCAACCATGATTATCTTTGGATGGTGGGATTACCTAACTTTCACTTTTCTGAACCTACCGTTTTTTTTATACAGGAAGCATATGTTAATTTTGAAATCATAACAGCACTAACAGGGGTATTAAGTAACAGGCTTTATAAATCCTTAAGCCTAATTACTGCAGATTAGTTTCCAAAAAATACCATAAGAGATTTATCTAAAATTCCATAATCCCATTATTTAATAATCCCCTTATTTACTCCAAAATGTAACCTTGAATTCTTAACATAATAAAAGACGCAGATCTTCTACCAAGCTCTGTTTGGTCCACACAAATCTGATTTTAAGAAAATTGAAAAAAGCTAATGCAAGTTACATAAATACGTGTGTACATTATTTTAAACTAAATTACACTTCTAAGGGGTTTTTTAAAGCATAGCTCCAAATTTTTTCTCCCTCTAACTTCCCTAGGGAATACAGTGCTTAGGAAAAAATCTGCAGCAGCACTTTCTACACTGTAAAGCTCTGTACAATAGGGCATCTCCGTGTTAATTGAAACCGTCCATTATTTCCTGTTCTTATCCTGCCTGGAAAAAGAAGTTTGTGTACAGAACTGCAACTCCACTCATGCAGGTCCCTTCAGGGTCGTGCATACACTGTCATCTGCGTGTATAAAGCCTCCTTAAAGAGATCACAGGTTCCTAGGAAGCAGCGACTCTTCTTTTCCATTCCTCGGCCTTGTAGATCGCCCCCCCCGCCCCCCCACCGCGCCAACGCCAGCGCGGTGATTTAGTCTGATGAAGACTGAATTCCGATCACCTGGCAAAACTTGAAAGCTTTCACCGCCCCTCCCCCAGTTTTGCCTAAGACTCCGGTTTCATTCAAAGAAAACAAACAAAAACATCACTGGATTTCCTTTCTTAGGACACTAACTACTTAAATAGTACTTAAGAGAGAGTGTGAAACCACGCAGGCTCCATTTAACCAGCTCAGTCCCGCTCGCTAGTCAATTACTCCAAATCAACAAATAGTGGAAAACAGCACGTCTTGCAGAGAAGAGGACAAAGATTACTCTAAGTAAACACCTAACTCCACCGATTATTACGAGGAATCAATAAGTGACCTTAGTGGATTTTTCTGGCGAAGTTGAAAAGTACATGCGAGCCCCGGCACGTAGTGGCCACGGCGAGTAGTGGCCAGGGCGAGAGGACCTCAGGAACCGCAGCAACCCCATTTCTCCCACTTTTTCTGCCCTGATCACTTCTGGCTCAGAACGGCCCCGAGCAAAACGCCCAGGGTGAAGGCTGGGACTGGCGCGGCCCCCGGAGGGTCAAGTGCCGGGTGGGTGGTGGACCTTAGTCCACAGTAAAACCCTCGGTCACTTTCAAGGTGACAGCAGAAGAGCCGCAGCGTCCCTCCCCCAGGAGCCCCACGTGAGACCCGCCTCCGCTGAGCTCGCGCTGCCACCCACCTCCCAGACTTCGGCACCCCGACCCTCCCCCCGAAAGCGAGTCCAGTCTGCGTGACCGCCGCGTCCCCCGCGTCCTCCTCCACCCTCACCTCCGGGCAGCGGGAATCCACTCAGCTCCACACTTACCCGCAGTGTTCCGAGCCGGCCCCAGCCCTCCCGGCAGCCGGGGCGCAGGGCGCAGCGCTCGGACCCTCGGCCGGGGCGCTCCTGGCCCACCGGGAGGCCCGCGGGGCAGCGTGCGCACTGGGGGCGCCTCGCCCACCCCGACCCCGACCTCTGCCAGGCTGGAACCCCGAGACCCGGCGCCCGGCCTCCCCGCCTCCGGGACCGCCAAGGGGTGGAGCGAGGCGGGGAGTTCGGGAAACTTGTAAATAGAAAGCTGCGCGGCCTCGGCCACCCCCACCGCACCGCAGCAACCCCTCCGAGCCGGAGACCACGGCCAGGCGGCCGGCACCAGGGAACTCGAAAGACGCGCTAGGCGGTACCTCGGGGCGCCGCCGGGACAGGCTCCCGCTCGCCTGCACCTCTGGTTCTTCTCGCGCTCCCGGGTCCCAGTCCCGCAGCCCCGCGCGCTCCCGGCCTAAATGCGGACGCGCCCCCACCCACCCCCGCCCGGCGCTGCACCTGTTGCCACGTGCGACCCGGGGCCCCGGGCTGCAGCCGCCGCACCTGGCCCAACAGCGCGTCCCCGGACCACGCTCGTCCCCGCGGGCGACCGAGGCTCCGCCAAGCCGAGTGCTGGCGCCCCAGGCCGGGCCCGGCTATCTTGACATCTCCCTCCCACTTCCCTTTGGCCACCTGCGGGCTCAGTTCCAGCCCTCCGGCCTGCTTCGGAGGGTGGGGCAGTTGCGGCGAAGTGGCAGAATTATCAGGGCAGAGGCTTGCTAGGAGCCTGCAAAGATCGCCTCTTACAGGGTCTGTCTCTCAACCTGTATTATATTCAAGCTTCCAAAAAGTTGACTAGCAAGCGTCGATTTAAGGTTAAAGAAATGAGCGCTCCAGCTGTTACAGCTTCAGGTAAAAAGTTGAAAGAATAGGACGCCCGAGGGAGAGAATAGGCCCGGCCCACTTTTCCCTAAACACAAACTAATTCCTTGCTCTTTGCTAAACTGAGCAAATTCCATAAACTATTTTCTTCTATAAGGCACGTGTTTTAATACAAAGCTTTTCCAAAAATGATATCGTGTCTATGAGGCTGTAACGTTACAGGCCAACCTAAGAACAAAATTATAAAATGTTCCTTTTAATTACCTGATTTGAGTTTGCTAAAAGCCTTGTAAGAAAGCTTTTCCTGAGGATAAATTTGAGGATGTTTGTTGTATTTCGTAGTTTTCTATATCCTGAATGTTAGATTATGGGCAGATATATTGCCATTTATAGTTGTATTTTATTTGTTGTTGCAGTTTGGCCGAGGGCCTGGTTGGAACCTATCACCCTTGGTATATGGGGCCAGCTCCTCACTCACTGAGCCACAGGCACCGCCCTGCCACTTACAGTTTTAAGACCTTTTCCAAGGTACAGGGATCCCTTATTTCCTCCCAAGACCCAGGAGTACATAGGTCAGATTTTCTCCATTATTCAAGTGAGGAAATTGAGGTTCAGGGAGGTCAAGTGATTTGGGCATGGTTTACACAGCTTGTGAAGGGCAAATATAACCCCTTCATGCCTAACTCCTTTCTTTTTTTTAGCCCATTACATAATGACACCTCTCATTTGCTTTTGAAATCTCCATTGTAAAGACACACATGGAACTGATAGGATTCCAGGACTTCAGGGAAGGAAGATGATTAAACAGTTACAGCATTAAACACCATTGGATGATGCCCCTTATGCGCCAAAACAAAACAAAAAAAGTCACTGACATTATTTCTGCAAGTCACAAAACAATTATGCTAACTGGCAACTTGCCTCCTCCCTAAGCAAAATATTCCTTGTGTTAAACTTCTGTGACCCATTTGGTCCAACCCCCCACAGTTCTATTGTGTGGCTTCCTTATATCTATAAATATAGAACCTGTTTTACTTCATTTTTCTATCAGATGGATTAAGGGAAAAAAACCCAACCCTCTGCTAAGTAATTAGAGCTGCTTGTGTGGGCATTGGGAAATCTGAAACTTAGTTTCTAATTGCATTCCTATAAAAACAGAAGTTATCTTCTAAGGATATCATCAGAGACTCCATCAGGGCAAATCTTCGTGAACTGAAGCTGTCGGCTTTTCTTTTCATCTTGGTTCTGGGCCTATTGTCAGGCTCCTGATCTACAGACTCCAGGAATGATATTAAGGATCCGATAATAATTCCACATAGTTTTGTGGCCCTTTGTTCTTCTTTTTTTTTTTTTTTTGAGACAGAGCCTCAAGCTGTCTCCCTTGGTAGAGTGCTGTAGCATCACAGCTCACAGCAACCTCCAACTCCTGGGCTTGAGCGAGTCTCCTGCCTCTGCCTCCCAAGTAGCTGGGACCACAGGCGCCCGCCACAATGCCTAGCTATTTTTTGGTTGCAGCCATCATTGTTGTTTGATGGGCCTGGGCTGGATTCGAACCCCCTACCTTAGGTGTATGTGGCTGGCGCCTTAGCCACTTGTTTTTTTTTTGTTTGTTTGTTTGTTTGTTTTTTTGTCCAGGGCTGGGTTTGAACCTGCCACCTCTAGGCATATGGGACTGGTGCCCTACCCTTTTGAGCCACAGGCACTGCCCTACTTGGCACTATGTTTAACTGTGTACTTTCTTGGATTTTATGCCACATAAATAACAGCACCTATTCTTATATTTTAAAATTTTTTAATGACTTGAAGTTTTGCCAACAGGATTGACTAATTTACTCTGTCAACTAATTTCACTCACAGATAAAAGATCAGCCTTCTTATGCCTTAATAGGGGTAGGGATGCTTTCAATCCCTATTCTAGTTCTTCTCTAGTTCATTTTAAAAAGAAGAGTTTAGTACAAAAAACTCTAAGAGATATGTGTAGTGAAAACGATGAGTTAGCAAATTCCTTAGAATTTTATTAGTCCTGACATCTCCCTAGGGGAGAGCTTCTAGCTAACTTTCCCAAAGTCATGTTCAATCAGAAATGAATGAGAATGCTAGGCCTAATTCTCAAGGGGAACACTCATACATTGATTTGAGTAGGAAGGAAGGAATTCCAAGGGAATTCCATGGAATCATATTACTTTGTTCCCAATCCTCTTCTTATTTGTTATATGTATTTACTTAGACCACCGCCATATTGAACAGGGATTTGAACAACTCTAAAAGACAGGGATAAGAAATTAAAAAAATGAATGCTTAGAAGTATAAATATCTTGGCTCAGCGCCTCTAGCTCAGCAGCTAGGGTGCCAGCCACATACACCGGAGCTGGTTGGTTTGAATCCAGCCAGGGCCTGCCAAACAACAATGGCAACTACAACAAAAAAATAGCTGGCCTATTTTCCTTGTCATGGTGGGCACCTGTAGTCCCAGCTACTTGGGAGGCTGAGGCAAGAGAATCGCTTAAGCCCAGGAGTTTGAGGTTGCTGTGAGCTGTGATGCCACGGCTCTCTACCAAGAACAATATACTCTGTCTCAAAAAAAAGTATAAATATTTTTAGCATAAAATAGAATCCCAAGAAAAGCGTACAGGCAAGAATAAATATATTGTTGGGCAACAAATTAAAACTGTGACCTTCCTGGTAGCCAAGTGCCCCAACCAGTTATATAATTGCCATCTTCAAAGGGGACTGGTAGTTCCTTAAAGGAAGCAAAATTTTTCCTTCCACTGAATTCTAAGAAAATGTTTTGTTACTCTTGTTAAAATCAAGACTACCGAATGGAACACAACATTATGCTATAAAAATAATGTAAGGAATTTTGTGTGGTTATTTCGTATAGTGGCCTTGAATAAAACCAAAATTCTTATAATAAAATTCAAGTTGAGGAAGATATTCACCCAGTCAGGGACTCTAGCCTGATGATGTCATCCAGTCAAGGATTAGCTTTGCAAAGAGGTGTGGGTTGCTGACATCTTCTTCAAATACACTTTGGAAAGTCAAATATGGTCATGGTAAAATCCTAACATCTTCACAAATTCCTTGCCTCAGAGGTAGTAAACACAACATTCCAGAAATGTTCTAGCCAGTCAGCCATTAGATAGCTGCTAAAGAACTGTTAGAAGTAGGGGTAGCCTCTGACATGGTCTCAGCATGATGGAATTTTGTGATACTGTTGATGACATTTTTGCTATTTTTCTGGACAGAAAATGTATATTACAGACAGACACAGGACTTGTAATTCTTGCATTCCAAGACAGTGAGATGTGCGAGGTCAAATACACAACCTGATGGTGGTACCGTGAATGGTCCTAGATTTATCTACAAATAACTCTCCTAGAGGGAAGGAGGAGTGGAGGGTCACCAGTGTGTGACACACCTTTTGGGGGTGGGAGACAATTATAAGAGGGACTTTACCTAACAAATGCAATCAGTGTGGTTCCTTGTACCCTCGATGAGTCCCCAACAACAACAACAACAACAAAACACAAAACAGGCAGCGGTGACCATAGCTTAGTGGGTAAGGGTGCCGGCCACATACACCAACACTGGTAGGTTCGAACCCAGCCAGGGACTGCTAAAACAAGGACAACTGCAACCAAAAAAAGTAGCCTAGTGTTATGGCAGGTACCTGTTAAGTCCCAGCTACTTGGGAGGCTGAGGCAAGAGAATCGCTTAAGCCCAAGAGTCTGAGTTTGCTGGGAACTGTGATGCCACAGCATTCTACCCAGCATGATAGCTTGAGATTCTGTCTCAGAAAAACAAAACAAGACAAAACAAAACCAAAAACTCTCCTGTTCCTGATTCCCTATTCTTCTTAGTGGGCTCAGAGAATCAGCTGAACTCTTTTTTTACTGTTCTGAAAGGGTAACAATGAGATTAGGGGTATCCTTAGGCAATTATCTGCAGGTCTGTAAGTAAAAATATCAAGAAAAAAGTTCTTTTCTCTTGCAACTTTCTGGTTGCAAGTTCAAAGCAGTAGCAATAATAAGGAATTTATAGCTCCCTCTTAACAAAATAACCAAAGAAAATCTGAGAAACTTTTTCATCTCCCCAGACCCTGTAAGGCCTCTTCAACAGTCCTCCGGGCGATGCCTGTGGCTAAAAGGAGTAGCATGCCAGCCCCACATGCCGGAGGTGGTGGGTTCAAACCCAGCCCCAGCCAAAAAAAAAAAACAAAAAACAAAACAGTCCTTCTATTCCAATTATAGCCTACATAGAAGGAACTGTTCTTATAGCATGATGCCAAAATTATTTTAGCTCACACACAAGCAAGTTGTCCCGTAATTCTGCCGTGGACTTCCTCATATTAGGAAGAAATTAAGAAAAATATAGTACCATGAGTTTGTTATTGCAACCACTTTGAAAATGTTTACTTTGAGCGCTTAAAATGTCATGACTGAAGAAACTACTGGTCTGCGTAATCCACTCTTGACAGTGAATCATAACTGCGTGACACTGGCCTTTGGTTAGGCTTTGCTCCAATCAGATTGAGTCTTTCCTTAAAAAGAGGATGTATTTTC